TGGTAACAGATGATAGGATGAGGGGGAATGGTTTGAAGCTGTGCCAGGGCAGGTTTAGGTTAGAAAAATTTCTTCACCGGAAGGGTTGTCAGGCTCTGGAATGGGCTGCCCAGGGAAATGGTCAAGTCCCCATCCCTGGAGGTATTTAAAAGAAGGGTAGATGAGGTGCTTAGTGCCAGGGTTTAGTGGTGGGATGGCAGGGTTAGGTTAAAGGTTGGACTCGATGATCTCAAAGGTCTTTTCCAACCAAAGTGATTCTATGATTCTATGACTTAGGAGACTTGGAAATAGCTCCAAGCTTATCCGAATGGGAAGCAGCAGCCGCCAAGGCTGCTGAGGGAGAGGACTCCCCTACTGACCCCAGCCGGTGCCAGCAGAGGGAGGGTGATGAGGAAGGGGGGGGGTCACTCAAGGAACTTGCAGGTCGTGCAGTGCAGCTTCTAGTGTGTAGAGCTGATCCCAAATGGGCTGCGACCTGCAGGACTCAAATCCCTGCTCCCGTCACTGGGAGCACGCGCTCCGCCTCCCCACGGCAGGCGGGGAAGGGTTTCCCCCCCAAAGGGCTTCTGCAAACCTTTGCTACTTCTGTCGCCCTCCGAAAAGTTCCCAAGTCTTTTCTTTTTTTTTTTTCTTTTCTTTCTTTTTTTTTTTTCTTTCTTTCTTTCTTTTTTTTTTCTTTTCTCTTTTTTTCCTCCGTTAAATAAGTAGTTCATACATTCGGGGCTGTGACAGTTCTACAAAGGAGAAAAACACTTGAACATATTTGTATTAAAATACAGTGTCCCTCCTTTCTCTTTGCATCCCCCGCCCTCTGATTTCTCAAACATAGCTACATTTATCAAGATAATAAGCTTCAGGTTTTGTACTAAGAGATCTATTTTCATGTCATCCTGGCATAGTCCTGACTGACTGAGCTAGTAAGATCCTTAAAAAAAAATGAATTTAGGATCAATAATATTTATAGCTCCATTTATAAAGCAGGAGTCAAAAGCATGTATAATGCTGAATTTATTAAGGGAACTTACACTAGGGATTCTGTTTACTAGCCTCTAATCCTACCTCTACTTTCTTTTTTTTTCTTTCTTTCTTTTTTTTTTTTTCCTTCTTTCTTTTTCTTTTTCCTTCCTTCTTTCTTTTTCTTTTTCCTTCCTTCTTTCTTTTTCTTTTTCCTTTGTGGTTTTTTTTGTATCAGTTACAAAAATAATCATTTGGAATCTGTGCTGACCGCTTTCTGGCACGCAGCTCGTTTCCCAGTGCCGAAACATCACTTCATACCCAACAGTTATTTGATATTCTATCTTCTGGTAAAAAAAAAACAAACAAACCAACCCTGTGAACTGCTGTAGTTTGTTTTGGTTGTATTCTAGTGGGGGGTTTGGGTTGTTTTGGTTGGGTTTTTTGTGAAGTCCAAATAAACTCATTTATCTTTCCCTGGCACGCAGGGAATAGTAGCATAGTAAAAAGAAACGTGTGGTTCCTGTTGCGTTCGTTAAAAGGTTTAAGTTTTTGGTATGTTGTTTTAAAATCCGCTGTCGAAACGAGGCGAGCTGGTGTGGTTTGTCTTGTCTGGTTGTCGGTACGAACGATACGCGGGGTAGAGCGCTCATTAACGGCGCTGGTTGCGTGGTTTGGGGGTCTCTTTTCTAACAGGGCTGGCTGTTTTTTTTTATGTGACAACAGTTGGCTGGGGAAGCGACCAAGGGATCGGAGGATTTGGAGAAGAACCAGGAATTAAAGCACAGCTAACGAACCTTATTCGATCTGTACGAACCGTTATGAGAGGTAAGGTGGCGATCTTTTGTTTGAACATTATTGTCTGGGACACTGGGCTTCTGCGCTTTAACGAAGTAACCTCAGCATTTTGACTCCTTGTCTTTTACCGACCAGCTGCTTGTCATTTCCAGTCCTGCGCGTTCCCTTCCTTCACACGTGGACGCTGTGTAGGAGGGCACGGGCCCCAGCTTCCCCCCCCTAAAACATAAAACGTTCCCTGGCTCTGGCTTGCGGTGCCGCTGCTGCGCCTTTGTCTTCCTTGGAGTTTGGGAGCTGGGGGGGAAGCTTGGTGATCAATCAGTGTGCAGTTAGCTTCGCCTTGGTTAAATTCAATTTTATGTGAAGTATCTGGCGAGGGAAATGCAGCTCCTGCGGTTCTTAAAAGGTAAGCCAGGCTTATGTGCCCCAAAGGATGGGGGGGAAAAATAGACTTTAATTTGTAAGTTACTGATCATTTTCTTCACTACAAAGCACACCAAAAATGCCTTTTATTATAGAATCGTTTAGGTTGGAAAAGCCCTTTAAGCTCCCCCAGCCCAACCGTTCCCCTACCCCTGCCAT